AGCTACTGTTTACTGTGTGCTATTTATTTCTAGCTCATATTCCCGCTTCCTCTGGCAAGTCATTTTCCACTTATTTCCTCCATCTCTTTAATTTTCTAGCCTCACTGAATTATTCTGTTCCTTTCCCTTCTTGTCTATCATGGTTGCATTAAACTAGGGCATTCTTTCCAATTGTCCTTTACATATATGGGCATCCATATTCATTGCTTAGCCTTGTGTCATAGTTATAAAGATGCTGCTTACACTCATAGCCTCCAACACATTTCCTTGATTGAGACTTTCAGCTATTTTTTACTTAAAAATCCACGATGGAATACATACATACTTACAAACAGTTTCTTATTGTTTTAATTAGAGTTTTGTATTAAGTGTGGGTGTGTTAGTATGGGTATTTTAGAGAAATAAATCCACAGAAACTCATGTATAATAGAGAGTTTTATATAAAGGGTAAGTGGACATCAAGAAAACATCCCAACCCAGTGCTGCCCAAGCCCACAAGTCCAACATTAGCCCATAGGTCCCACACCAATCCACAAAGTCCTCCTCCATCTCACAAAACATATGCAATGACGCCAACTGCAGGAGGAACGCCAAAGCAGTGAACATGTAAGCATCTCAGCGCTGGCAGGGGTCTCCACACGGCTGCTCCAGCACCCAGGGCTGCATCAGGGTAGGTCCATGGAGCTTCTCCTTGGGGATGTCTTGCAGGAAGTGAGCCTTGCAAGCTGAAGCAGGGAACTGGCTAAGGCAGCTGCACCGTGGGCCGACCATCACAAAGCAAGAGACCCGAAAACTAGAAAGGCGAGGCTCACCGAGCCATTTATCTCTCTGCCCTTCAATTAACTCCACATGTGTTTATCGGCCAGGTTGGCACAGTAAACTTTAACTGTCTCAGTGGGATTTCTCCATAATTTAGTCTCACTGTGTTTTTCATTCGGTTACTTGAGTTTTATTTATTGTCTCTCTGGTATGCAAGAAATCTTAATTTCCAAATTTTCTAGGTCCGTATTACTAAAAGTGCCTCAATCTAATAGCATAAACATCACCTGTTTGTTGTAAGTGCAGCCTCTCTGGGCTTTCTGTATCTGCACCTGCATTTTATCAAGGTGGATATGTGCACATTAGTGTTTGCACAGCACTTTTCTAGGTATTACCCAGATAACTGGCACTTTCACATGTTACTGAGTACTTAGGCCTTTTCTAGAACTGACCTTAAACACTTACAGCCCCCTATCAAAATCTTACATAAATTTTTGTGAATTATTTCATAATTGTCCATCTTGGTTTACCGTAATAGAAATTACTCTTTGGGTGGGTATCACTGCCACTTTGGGAATACAATACCATAGCTAACTTTGAACAGTGTTAATCCTAGTTTTTTAGATAACAAGTTGGTATATATTCCAGTATCAGTTTCCATCTTTCTTATTTCTTGGTCATTGACCTTTAAAGAACATTGTATGCACTAACCTTTGAGGGGAACTATTCACTTTTCTATTGTATTTTTATCTTAAATGAGAGAAATTACCTTACCAATAGCTGACTTGCAGATTGACCGTATATTTACATAGTTTATGAATAAATAGATAATAAAAGTCTATTCTCAAATATTTTTTATACATTGTAGGTTCTCAAACTTATTTGGCCTACTGTCCCCTTTTCCAAAAAACAAAAATCACATAATGCCCTCCTGAAAATAATAAACTTCTCTATTACAAGTTATAATCTAGGATATAGTGTAGGTTTCTGTTTTTGTACGCTACCCTTTTATCATTCCAGCACTTCCCAAGGGGGTGGTTTCACCCACTTTGGGAAGCATTATTGTACATGATAAAAAAGGATTTGTGAACTCCTGTCCTACGGTACAATAAAAACAATCCCAGATTTTATAAGTGAACTGGGAAATAAACTTGTGGATCATAACAAACTATGGGTAGCACTGAAAATAATGGGAATTCCGGAACACTTTATTGTACTCTTGCAGGACTTGTACATGGACCAAGAGGCAGTGTTCCAGTAGAACAAGGGAACATGAATTCAGGAATTGCGTGTGCCCAGGTTGTATCCTTTCGCGGTACTTATTCAGTCTCTGTGTTAGGCACGTAGTCCGTGAAGCTGCACTACATGGAGAAGAATGCAGCATCAGGATTAGAAGAAGGTTAGTAACAATCTGCGATATGCTTGCTGGAAAGCGAGGAAAACTTGAAGCACTTCCTGATGAAAATAAAGAGCGCAGCCTTCAGTGTGAATTGGAATTCAGTGTAAATAAAAATCTCCACAACTGGACTAGCAGACAACTATTAAGATAAACAGAGAAGAGATTTAAGTTGTCAAGAACTTTATTTTACTTAGATTCACAATCATTGCTTATGGAAACAGCAGTCAGGAAATCAAATGACAAATTACGTTGGACATACCTGCTGCACAAGGCCTCTTTAAAGCATTGAAGAACAAGGATGTCAGTTTGAGGACTCGTGTGCCTAACTCAATCAAGCCATGGTATTTTCAGTTTGAAAATTGGACAAAGACTAGGAAGACTGGAAAAGAATCGATGCATTTGAATTACGGTGCTGGAGAAGAATATTGAAAATACCGTGGACTGCCAAAAGAACAAAAAATCTCTCTTCAAAGAAATATATCCAGAATGCTCTTTGGAAGTGAGGATGACAAGACTTCATCTTACCTGCTTTGGACATGGCATCAAGAGAGACCAGTCCCTGGAAAAGGACATAATGTTCGGTGGGATATCAGTGCAGGGTCAGCAGAAGGCCCTCAAGGAGATGGACTGACCCGAGGCTGCTGCAGCAGCGGACTCCAACATAACAATTGTGAGGATGGCACAGGACTGGGCAGGGTTTTACTCTGTTTAGAGGGTTGTTAAGATTTGAAGTTAAAATATTTTGTAGTTTTGAAGTTGTTCCTTTTATTGTCATATTTCAAGAATGTTTATTTTAAGAGGCTTGAAGACATACAAAAATTAATCTTCCAGTGTTTTCTAGCATTCAGATGACATTTGAGCAAACTTATTGTCCTGTGAACAAACCATTGGCATTTTTCTAGAGAAATACTACACTTTTATGACAAACACAGTTCTAAGAGTGGCTAATTTTGACTCTGTGCCTGAGAATGGCAGTTAGAGAGACCGGAACATTTATATGTATGTGAGGTAGGTTTGTGTCACTTAGCTCTTTAAGACTGTCTGTTTTAAGCAACCAAAGTAAATCCATGGAAAGACCTTAGCTGGGAGCAATTCTGTTCTATACCCAGCTGCTGCTACATGTGGCTATGCCAGACTAGAAGGCGGTGTGCTTACCAGAGGATACCCTGGTGGTCATAACCAAATTGTAAATGTCACACAGATTCTCTTTGAATGTCTATCACATTTGTATCAGTGATTCTGAAGCTGATAAAAATTAAACAAAGATTCATTTGGGAGTTGCACTCCCAAAAGATTAGCTTTAAAAAAGAACAGCAGGAGGAATTGTGACATGCATCCATAAGCAATTCTAGTGATTTGACAGTTATTTCACCCTCAGTACTTAGCCCTTTGGTTGAACTGACAGCGCACAAGTAAAAATAGTGAGGCCTGCTTCAGCCCCATTAATGTCAGCCTGACTGCTAGCCTGCAGCCTGGGTAATGATAAATGTTTAGTAATTGATGATTTTGTAGTCCCAGGGATTCTGGGTGGTATCTGTGAACCTGAGTGGTTTCCTCCTTTGTTGGGGTTATTTGGTGTAAGTCTTTCTGGTCTTTACTAAAGTGGTTTTAAATTGACAGTGGTGGGTATCACCTGCAGTTCTAATTAACGAGGCCTTAAAGCAGCGGTTCTCAACCTTTGGGTCGCTACCCTTTTGGGGGTTGAACGACCCTTTCACAGGGCTGTGTTGCTTAAGACCATCGGAAAACATATTTCCAATGGTTGGGGGTCACCACAACATGAGGAACTGTATTAAAGGGTGGCAGCATTAGGAAGGTTGCGAACCACTGGCTTAAAACCTTATGTAGAAACAGTGAGTTTAGAGATGGTTCTACTCCCAGAGAGAGTGACAGTCCCGAGGGCAGTTCTGCCACACCCTGTAGGGTGTCCAGCAGTCAGGATCCGCGCAGTGGCAGTGAGTTTGAGTCTTTGAGCACTGCATGTCGCAGATACAGAAGTCTGAGAACCAAAACCGTTTTTAACCCCCGAACCTTTTGTTACCTGGGTAACACAATTAATTTGTAAATGTTGGTGTTTTAAATATAATTTTACTTTAATAAGAACTTAACACGGTTTATACACAGAAGAGAGAAATTTAATAACAGCTATTATGAGCTGTACTGTTTCTGTAGTGTGTGAAGCTTTGTTTTTCAGACCTTTAAGATGTAAGTCAACTATTTTTTTTAAATGCTTTCCTTTTTTCATAACTCAATTTCTTTAGTGGTGTAGCTTGTTATGTTGGCATTAAAACAAATAAAGACAAAATATTTTGTTAAATAGTTGTTTATTTAGTGTCACTAGAATGTTGACTGTGAGTGATTTTACGTGTACTGCTTTAATTACAGTGACTGCATAAGGGCAGAAGAAGAATAGGAGGATGGCAGTACGCATTTTCCTGATTTACTACAGCGCAAAAAAAAAGTTTCTTATTTCATCCTATTTTATGAAGTGTAGAACTGTTTCAAGGAATGTGAGGCTATCTTGAGTTAATTTCAGTAATAGTGTATAGAATTTTTAAAGTTTTCTTTTACATCAGAGGCACTGAGACTTTGAAAGTAATGGTGTCTATGATTAATTTTTATTTTCAATAAGATCAGTCAATTATCTTGGCGTTCAAACTTGAAAAGGAATAAAAGGGTCACTTTTGCCTTTGAGTTTTTTGAATAATGAACATGGAATTGGTTAGAAAGAGCCACTTGTAAGTCTGGATTAATTAGGCCATTGTCATTAAGTTCAATTAGTAGGACTGCCCAATAATCCCTTTAATAATCTGGTCTTTTTTCCCCCTCCCTTTCCCTCTAGGGTTTTACAGATAGCCCTCATTACAGTGATCACTTGAATGACAGTCGATTAGGAGCCCACGAAGGCTTGTCCCCAACACCTTTCATGAACTCAAATCTGATGGGTAAGTAGGTAATTCTCTCGAAGTAGTTTTCTCAAAGCCTTTGGTCAGAGGCATTTCCCCCTTCTTATCCAGGAAAGACAGACACATTAAGTATCTCAAAGAAAGTTACAGAATTTCTAATGGCATGTAAGACTTTCCATGTTCAACTCACCTGGAGGGAGAAACGTGGAGAAAGGAGCATTCTTCTCTTTGCTATTAAAAAAGAAACAAATTGTTTGTTTTTTAAAAATCATTTTATTGGGGGCTCATACAACTCATCACAATCCATACATAACATCCATTGTGTCACGCACATTTGTACATTTGTTGCCTTCATCATTCTCAAAACATTTTATTTCTACTTGATCCCTTGGTATCAGGCCCTCGTTATTTCCCCTCCTTCCCCTCCCTACCTCCCTCACTAACCCTTGATACTTTATAAATTATTATTTTGTCACGTCTTACACTGTCCGATGTCTCCTTTCACCAACTTTTCTTCTGCCTGTCCCCCAGGGTGGAGGGAGTTATATGGAGATCCTTGTGATCGGTTCCCCATTTTTACCCCACCTTCCCTGCACCCTCCCGATATCCCCACTCTTACCACTGATCCCGAGGGGTTCATCTCCCCTAGATTCCCTGTGAGAAACAAGTTTTGCCTGATAGCTTTGGCAGTAGTCTCTGGGACCTCAAGCACTCTGTGTTTCCAGCTTTCAGGGGCAGAGAAGCAATGGGATACTTCGCCTTGCCAGACATATATATGTATGTGGTGGTACTTAAAGAGACAACAGGGATTTTAGACGTATTTTACTGATGGACAGTATTTGCTGTAACACTCTTTGATTAATACTTAAATAGTATATTTAAATGTTGCAGCATTTTTTTTGAGGTGGTTAGATTCTATTGGGTACTTTCAAAATTTGTTTTGAAGTGAAACTGTGTTTTAAAGCCTATGACCTTTACCTGATTTTTTATTTTGTCAAACCAACACACACACACACACACACACACACACACACACACACACACACTTTCCTCTCTTTTGCAAATAAAATTTTTAGTTAGTCACTTGAAATGGTAAGTCCGAGTTTTTCTTCAGTTTAGATGCTGTGCTTTAATTTTTGGCAACTGTTTTGACTTTTTGCTTCTTTTTTGCAAAACAGAATTCAAATGAAATCTCTGGATTTTAGGGCATTGTTTTCCTTCTTGCTTATTATGGGCTGAACGCATTACTAGAGCAAATCTCTTTTACTGGTTGTCACAAGAGTCGTATGAATGTGGAAGATTTGTGTAATTGACATTGATTTCATTACTTTATTTCTTATGGATGTGACCTATATTGTGATCTTAAAATTGTCCTTTTAAGATACAGCCGTGCTAATCTAAGTGGATTACCCAAATCCAAAATCCTGGTGGTCTGCAATTTCTTTATAAATGATTTTGCTTTGCAGTGTTTATTTCCCATATCCTCTGTGAAGTGTTAAGGAGACAGAATCTGATATTCTAGTGTGAATTTTGCTTGGGGCAATTACCAGTTTAAAACCATAATTATTCAGTACACTGTAAGAGTTAAAAAGACCAAAAGCAAACCTAGTTGGCAATAAACCTTTTTAAAAATTATGTATGTCACAGTTCGTTTTGATAGAAATGCAAGTGCAAAATCATAGCATTAGGTAAATTATTATTCCAGGTAAAAATCAGAATTAAATTTGGAACAAAATTATTACTCTAGCATTTGGTGGGGAAACTTTCTAATGTGCTAGAAATTTCTCTGTTGAGCTTATCAGAATAAAATAGATGTGTTGGTCTAAATTATTTGCTTTTGCAGTGTATCTTTCCCACAAGATACATTTTACTTATAGCAAATATAGTTGGCCAAGTTATAGGCAATATTTTTGTAACATCAGATTGAATTAAGCTTTCTTAAGACTTCAACTCTGAATTGTGAAAAAGCAGAACTCTCCTTTTGTATATTTGTTTTTATTCTGAGCTAACAAATGAGTCTTAAGCCTGGCGAAATTGCACAACTTTGAGCCAAGGTGAATGTTAAAATTGTGGGGGTAAGTGTAGAAGAAGGAGCCCTGGTGGCACGGTGTTTACTAGTTACAGTTATATGACTAGGGCGAAATAGATCTATGTACATATATTTATAGGTTGAGTATTAAGAAAACAGATGGCACTGGTACAGATAGGAACTGAAAATACAGGGAATCCAGGGCGGATGAGGCAGC